CTGGGGCGTGTTCTGTAGCACATGTGACCCCCCCTGCCTCTTCCTCTCTTTAGTATCCTCATTTCTTGAAGCGAGACGCGAACAATCTCCAGATCATGTTGCAGAGACGGAAGCGGTACAAGAACCGGACCATTCTGGGCTACAAGTCCTTGGCCATTGGCATCATAAACATGGCAGAGGTAATGTGTGCCGTCCCCCGAGGGACGCTCAGCCCCTCCCACCACCCCTGAGGCATCTTCCCATGTTGTGTTTTCCGGGGGGGGGGAGGGGATATAACGTATATTTGTCTTGCGGGTCAGGTGATGCAACGTCCTACAGAGGGGATGAAGGTTCTGGATCTCCATAGCAACAGGAAGGACCCAGCTATCCGAGTGGCTGAAATCAGCATCCTCTCCCTGTCCAGTCAGCCCATCGACCACGAGGAGGTCACCACGGTGACCAGAACCAAGATCAAAGGCTTGGGTGAGGCCCGGGATGGAGACGGAGGATGAGGGAAAGAAACGAGTCCAGGACACAATTCCTGACTGACACAGAGGACTATGTCCCCGATTGTATGAGGAGACTTCCAGGGGGAGGAGACTTCTAGGGGGAGGAGACTTCTAGGGGGAGGATACCTCTAGGGGGAGGATACTTCTAGGGGGGGGGGCTTCTAGGGGGGGGGGGACTACAGGGGGAGGGGGAGGAGACTTCCAGGGGGAGGAGACTTCTAGGCGGAGGAGACTTCTAGGGGGAGGAGACCTCTAATGGGAGGATACTTCCAGAGGGAGGAGACTTCTAGGGGGAGGAGACTTCTAGGGGAGGATACCTCTAGGGGAGGAGACTACTAGGTGGAGGAGACTTCTAGGGGGAGGAGACTTCCAGGGGGAGGATACCTCTAGGGGGAGGAGACTTCTAGGGGGAGGAGACTTCTAGGTGGAAGAGACTACTAGGTGGAGGAGACTTCTAGGTGGAGGAGACTTCTAGGCAGAGGGGACTTGTAGGTGGAGGAGACTTCTAGGTGGAGGAGACTTCTAGGTGGAGGAGACTTCTAGGCGGAGGAGACTTCTAGGGGGAGGAGACTTGTAGGGGGAGGGGACTTCTAGGGGGAGGAGACTTCTAGGGGGAGGAGACTTCTAGGGGGAGGAGACTTCTAGGGGGAGGAGACTTCTAGGCGGAGGAGACTTCCAGAGGGAGGAGACTTGTAGGTGGAGGGGACTTGTAGGTGGAGGGGACTTGTAGGTGGAGGGGACTTGTAGGTGGAGGGGACTTCTAGGTGTAGGAGACTTCTAGGGGGAGGAGACTTCTAGGCGGAGGAGACTTCCAGAGGGAGGAGACTTCCAGAGGGAGGAGACTTGTAGGTGGAGGGGACTTGTAGGTGGAGGGGACTTGTAGGTGGAGGTTCTCCCCCAGACCTGTCCGAGTATATCCCAATTCCACCGATTTAAAGGTCTTCCTAGCAACATGTTTACTTAGAGGAGGTCCCGGCCCCTGTTTACTCAGAGGAGGTCCCGGCCCCTGTTTACTCAGAGGAGGTCCCGGCCCCTGTTTACTCAGAGGAGGTCCTGGCCCCTGTTTACTCAGAGGAGGTCCTGGCCCCTGTTTACTCAGAGGAGGTCCTGGCCCCGTAGTCCTCGGCTGTAGAGGGTCTTGTGCAGTAAGTGTATTGAAGACACATCGTTGCCATGACTACATAATGTGTACCTTTCAGATGCCGACCAGTATTGGGAGGAGGAGGATGATGAGGACAGTTATTCCTCTGAACCAGAAGGCAGCGATGAAGGCTG